TACATTGCGGACGGGTTTCGATGGCGCCACATCGCGCTGCAGCCTCACCGTTAAGTATCTCTAACAGCTAAACGAACAGTGCTATGGTAGACGCACATGCACGAATATGGTTGCGTTGTTACATTAGAGGTTTCCTGATCTCACCAATTGACGTCGCCATATGCAGAAATAAAAAATCGTGGTGTTTCAGATGCGCCCACTTGAAAAGAAAAAGAACCACACGTTTGTTTTCTGAGATTACTTCTTTTTAAATAATGAAAGGGAGCAAGGGAAGACAATCATATATTAGAAATGGACAAATAGAATATACAGGTATAGAAAATGCAGACAATTTCAGCAACAACAATGTATAAATGCATAAGTAAATCAGTTTGTAAACTAGTAATTTAGGAGTACTGATTGGTTCTTCAGCCTGAATATCTTTGAACTTTTAATAAACTCCTGAAATGCATGAGCAACTTTCCCGGTAGTGAATTTTAAGGACAATGATTGATATGTGGGGTTTAACGTCCCAAAACCACTATATGATTATGAGAGACGCCGTAGTGGAGGGCTCCGGAAATTTAGACCACCTGGTGGGACGGTGGTCCCACCAGGTGGTCAATCAAAGGTGGAACGGCACCCGTTCGTCTTACGTCAAATTATTTATATTATCAGGAAAACGTGTGACATAGCTGGTGTTTACTGTTTTACATCTTGACCGCACAAGACAAGACGAGGACAGAGGGACGTACGACGACATGGGCGGTAAACTTTCTCAACTCGTTTATTCATCTAAAAACGTAGCATAATATGCGCAGACGCACTTACACCCGCTCGTCAGCTTAGCGGGGTAGCCAGTGATCGAATAAGCATATTTCTGATTGAAGTAACCTAATATATTCATCACATACACAGTCATCACTTTTCTTCATTATAAGATAGGCCACTAATACCTCTTGAGCTGTTTGAACTTGGCTCCTGCCCAAAATATTTATCCCCAGAAACCGTAGTTACACATTAACTGTTCATTTTTCTGTCTCGTTTTCTCACTGACAGAAGTGACTTCGACCTGTGGGGCTAGGGAAGAACATTCCGCGATACACGCGTGTCTTCCCTGGCGTGCCGCGAGGGCTAGGGGAATCGGCTTTTCCCGCAAATAAGCACCGTTCCCGCGACGTCCGATGGAGTTTGAAGCAAATTGGACGCCGCTACCCGCTGTTTTCAGAGAACTGTCAAGTTTTACACGCGTCATGCTCGTGTGCACGCTTTGCGTGTTCAGGTTTCACACCGACTGTACGACGTGCCACGTGTGTCAGCTGCGATAAGTGGAAGAAACTTTCTAGGTGAATGTAGTGACAGCTTAAAAAAAAAAAAAAGAAACCCATCGCTATTTTTAGCCTCCGAAAGTGGAGCTGAGTGGTTTAAACTCGCTTCTTCGGAAATACCGGTGTCTGTGAACGTCCGCCTTTATTTAGCGCGGAGCGAGTTTGTTTTCCGGGTGCTAAATTGCGAACGCAGGACACGGAGAAAGCTTTCACTCGAGGACTCGTGTGTGCATCGAAATCTACGTAAATAGGCGAAATCGGCCGGTTTTGTACGCGCGCGCTGTTCAATAAAAAAACATTCAGCGGGGCCCCGGTAATGATTTCACTAGTTCCCATTGAATTCTGCACGGAAGTTCGGCGCAGAAAGTTCCGCTATGCCATGACGCCATCGTGCGTTTACGTTGCGAACGTGGATTACCTTTTTGTTCTCTCTCTGAACTGAGCGCATAAAAAGCCTTTTTTCTTGGCCGTTTTTCTTTTTTTTGTTGTTCTACGCGTGTAAGACGCAAACACGCGCCTTCTCGCGGGTCGGCTGCGTTAGCGGGGTCGGAAATGGGCGCTTTCTCATTACGACCCGCTTGGGTATGGTAAGCCTTTGGCGTTTCTCGACGAAGAAAATTTAGTACCGCTCTTACCGGAACGCTCGTCCCGCACGCCTGTTTGTCGTGCGGTGGAGCTAGCGATGAGCGTGCTGATGCGTTAGCGTTGCTTTTTGAACACGCATATTCGCATCGACGAACGTAACACCGGAGACCCGAATTCAGCGACGACAGTACCATTCCGCGAAGGAGCCGCACCTCACGGGAGTCCGATTTCGTGTCGCAGCAGTCGGACGTGATATTCGATATCTTTCCACGGTGCTTCAAAGAGAAGCGATGGAAGATGAAGAACGGAAGGAAGTACGAGAAGAAGACGAGAACGTGCAAGGGCTTCTTATAAATGCAATGTATCGAGTGTCTGCTGCCGTTCCTTGGAACTCGTGAAAAGGTATTGCGCTGTATACGCTTCTGGAAGGTTATTCGAGGCCGCCATCTGTCGTTCCTTTCGATTCGTAGTACATACCCTCTCCGATGTCAGGCGGGTGGGTGAAAAACTCTGTTTTTCCTTCTCCAAGAAAATGGGCAAATGGATAGGGATAGGTAGATGCCACTACACGTGCCAGTTTTCCGCAACCTTCTCTGCATGCCTGTCCTAGGATGGCTTCCTATAGATTGCTTTCCCTCCTATGCCTTCGTTAACCGTGTGTTTTAATGAATTTATTTCATAACACAGGTCGTGTTTAAAAGTTACAGAGCTTGAAAACCAATGAAGCTGCTTCACCGATTACGTCATTTCTCTCCATCTCTCTCTTTCGTGATATTAAGAAAGTTCGCCAAATAAAACGGCTGCCGTGTCGCTATATTGCGCACATGGAGAGATGGCAATGCTCCAAATTAAGCTTTAGCATAAAGCCTGCGTACCTGATTACATCCGTGAAAAGCGCGAACTCGTCGCTCATCACATAAGATTATGGTGAATTTCCGCCCACGCAACAAAGGTGACTACGTATAGGCTGGACGTTATATGGTAGATTGCGTTAAGCTTATATGAAAGTTATGAAAAATGTACTTCACGGTCATTGCTCAACAACCATCCGAGGCTTAAAGCTCACGAATTCCTTATTTCAAACGTATACCTCTAGCCTTACTTGATGTGTGCACTTCAACGTGGTTTAATTGGTGTGGGTTTTGATGAAATTCTGCATTTTTTAAAGCAGACGCCATGCGTGCCGGAGTTATCCTTGAAAACACGAGCATGGAAAGCAGAGAGTCCACGTGCTGGGTGGATATTGAAGACCGGCGAAAGGCAGCCTCCCGTATCTCCTCGTATTTAATATCTTTTCGGAGGGACGGGAGAGGGGATGTTTCAGGGCACCGCCACACAATACAGTTAAGATTTGCCTTCGTTGCGGAGCAATATTTACGGAAAAAGGAGGAGTATAGCTAGAAAAGCACACGAGGTGAGGACGATGAGGAGAGAGAAAGTTGCGGTTCTGTAGCTGTCGCCAGAGTACTTCGTGCTTGCGTGGGGATTCCGTAATGAGCGGACGGGAGGTCAGACGGCCGAGCCGAGTCGCTGTAGATGTCGCGAAATGTTCGAAGTCGATCCTGCGCAGAAAACGGTGCCGTTGTCGGAACGGCGCTTTCTTTCAATGCCTGCGCTTAGGCTGTAAGTCCTCGGGTGCTGGCGTGAGCCGCTTCGTTACAGGCAAGGCCCGCGTGCACGGAAGTCGATATTAAAGTGGTGTCTCGTTGCGGGGTATGGACCAGGAGGAGAGAGAGGGCTGTTTCGGGACACCCTAGCTGCTCCACAATTATAGATGGAAGTTTTAGAATCACTGTTGAAAAGTTGAGTGATTCGGAATGGTAAGAGCCGGTTCCTCTGCTTCTCCAGAAGAGGAATCAGAAATGGAAGCAGCAGTAGCTATCTAGTCGCAAGAATTGACAATTGAGAAGGAAAAAAAAGAAGACAGGTATTTACCTCTATAATTACACTTGAATGTACACATTCCGGCACTCTCTGAACACACGCAATATGTGCACCACGAGCACCATCGACGACAGCGTGCGAGAACTTTCGCAAAATGGTTTTCTGCTTCGAAAGAAGTGCTCTATACGTCGATGCTGCCGTGTTCATTCGTTCGGCAGCATCGACGTTGAGCACTATTTAAGAAGTAGAAAATTGTTTTGCAAGAGTTCTCGCACGCTGTCATCGATGGTGCTCGTGGTGCACATATTGCGTGTGTTCAGAGATTGCCGGAATGCGTACATTAATGTGTAATTATAGAGCTATAGTTTGTGTGTTGGAGAGACGGACATATATTTTCAGGTTAAGTGAGCTTCAATCGGTTAGCCTTTCTCTAGACGTAATAATTCTCCTTGGTGGGAGTGCTAGCGATGTGTGCTTGCTATTCGAGCGTGAATCGAAAAATTAGCCGCCGTACGATTTCTCAATTTAACCGTGTTGCCGGGCGAACCGTTTGCGTTTTGCAGCAATGTGCGCTCTTTTGTACACATAGTGGATATGTGTTTATTTTTATTTATTTATTTATTTATTGTACCCTCAGGGCATACAGCATTATAGAGGGGAGTGGGTTTAGAAGACAAAAAATACAATTGAAACGTGAAAAACAAATCACATTCAGTACATGCGTACAACACTCGAGAACAACGTGTAAATGACAACGCTTACACAATATCTTAAAAAAAAGCGCGCGTATTTAAAATCTAGCGATTCATTTACGGGATCACATGACACTAATGACCTATCACAAAACTCGCGCACTTACAGATTCGCTGCCCGATAGTGGTATAATGCTGCTCGGCTGTTGAACCGCATGTCGCGGGATTGAATCCCAGCCATGGCGGCCGCTTTTTCGATAGAAGAGAGAATGCTGGAGACCTGCGTTTACGTGTTAGCTTTTGGTGGGTATAGTTGAAGAACCGTATACGGGGTCGAAACTTCCGGAGCCCACCTTTACGGCGTTCCTTTGGGGTGTTAGACTCCGTTCGTTTAATAATAATAATAATAATAATAATAATAATAATAATAATAATAATAATAATAATAATAATAATAATAATACATTCGCTGTCCGGTAGTTAACTCGGCGTGGAACTAAATGACATTTCGCTTTGGACCTCGTGTGCGCAGGTACAAGCTGGGCAACTATCACCGCCCGTCGACTCCGGAAAAAGACGAAGAGGAAGAAGAAGATGATGATGAAGATGACGGCGAGGAGAGGAGAGGGGGAGGAAGAGGGGCAACCGCCTCCGCCGTCGCACCGAGCCCTTGCGGGCGGAAACGCCAGGAGTCCGGTGGTGGCCAAGCGGTCCCCCTGAAACGGTCCGCTCTGCAAGCAGACGGCGACACGCCCGAGGGCAAAGCTCGTGGCGGGCAGCAGGGTGAGCGGAACGTGCGTCTCAAGTTTCATCGCTCGAGCGGGGCCGAAGGAAAGAGTGCGTGCGAGAGGGGTGCGCAACCGCGTTAGTGAGTAGACTCCATTACATGGATGACACCTCGATTTACGAGATTTAAGTTAAGGTCGGAGTGAGCGTTAAAGAATGTGCCTGACTGCAGACAGCGAAGACTAGATGAGCACAATGGGTGGCAGATCAAGCTGATCCAGAGATGATAGCCTGAGAGGTATTAGGTACGAGAATGAATATATATATATATATATATATATATATATATATATATATATATATATATAACGGATTATGTGGTTCAGGAGTAAAATCGCGCAGCCGGAGACAATCGTGGAGGCCACGTTTAGAACGAGGAAATGTAAGTGCGAGACGCGCGAACTTATTGCGCAATTTCCGTGCCGTCTCACCTGACGTATAAAAACGTACTATGAGGCATTCATGCTGCAAGAAATGGTAATTGCCGGAAAGTCACACACAGAAAAAAAGTTTGACTGATTCGGCCCTCTTGTGCCCGTAGTTGCGGTTCTTACTTTTGGCGATGAGGCGTAAGAGTATTTTATATACCTGCAAACTCATCGTTAAACAAAGACAGCCTTCTCTTCCAACACCGATCATACTTGCAACTTTAAACTTTATCAGATGGCGTACGCGGGCAACTTGTGATGTTTATTTTGTTCGTGGAGAAAACGCAAGATACAGCATGCATGTACCAAGCCCAGAAAACGCAACAGGCATGAGGTGCTCTTTGCGGAAGTTTCTTCTGACATAACGCCAGCTTAAAAGCTTAAAGGAATTGGTTTTTCTTGTCAATGGTGAAGCGAAAGCGCCGTCGAATATATATATATATATATATATATATATATATATATATATATATATATATATATATATATCCTCTTATAGCCTATATATAGCTTCTTATAGCCTGTCGAGACAGGAGGGAAGGGGTTGAAAGAAAAGTAAAAAAAGGGAAAAAACAAAGAAAAGAGAGATAGAGAGAGAAAAAAAGAGAAGAAGAAACAGCGAAACGGGAGGACAAACATTAAATAAAATATAGAAAATCTAGGAGAAGAAGCAAGACCGACACGGCGTAATTAGAAAGGGGCCGCATCTCAACAGAGTAGGGCAGAGGTAGATGAGCAATGTCATCATTGTCAACAATACCTCCCCCGCACCCACTCTTCCCCAAGTGGGCAGTGAGCAGCCATTCCTGTATTTCACCTTTCCATGTAGTCCGCTGGCGGCTCGTTCCTCTTTGAAGTTTAGGAGAAGTTAATGGGGAGGGCTTAAGTGCTTCGAGTGCGTGCTGGTGGCGTCGGGAGGAATGAAAAAGCCGGTGATTGAGGCACCGCCATTGATATTCATTATATGCAATGGCTCCTTGTCAGTGAAGGAACAGAATGTGCGTTAAAAGTTAAAGAAGGAAAAAAAAGAAGAACAGGGGGGGGGGGGGAGACTGTACGACATCCGGGACAGTCACCACACAGTTGCGGCTCACTGGAAAGACATGCGCGCATGTATGAAAAAGTCAACGAAACCACCTAGCTGTCAGCTCCTTGTCAGTGAAGGAACAGAATGTGCGTTAAAACTTAAAGAAGAAAAAAAAGAAAAGAAAAAAAAGGGGGGGGGGGACCGTACGACATCCGGGACCACTTATCTGTGCGTTCCGGCTGTGCTTGATGAGGCAAATCATTTCTGTGTTGTCAGATGCATAGGCCAAAAGCTTTGTTAGCGGGTAATATTATTGTCGTAATGAAACCGGACTGATTAGAGAGAAGCGTTTGCGCCTTTTAGCGGTCGTCACGCTGACAGAGTGCCTGGGTGTTCATTTATTCTTGATTTTATCGTGTTAAATTTGTAGATAAAATAAGATTCCAGTTGTTCCCGTTCTCCGATTGTTCGAAAGTTGTTTTCTAGTAGTGTAACCCTGATGTCATCAAAGCTGTGGTCTTTTAATGTGCAGTGTTTTCAAAGTGGAAGGCCTGGCAGAGATCGTACATGTGCCCGATGGTTGTTGAATCTAATTCTAAACGGAGTGTCTGTCTGGCCCACGTATTGCTTGTTACATACCCCACATTCCAGGAGGTATATGACGTTGTCTGAGTCACAGTGTAGTGCACCTCTTATCCTGTGCTTAAAATCCGAGTGGGTGCTTTTCGCCACTGTTGTTGTCTGCATGTGTTTGCATACCTTGCATCTGCTTTTTCCGCAAGGGTGACACCCGGTTTGAGGTTTCACACCTATCTTTGAATTTATTAAATAATCCTTTATATTTTTTGGCCGTCTGTATACAACACAAGGAGGAGAAGTGAAAATTTTGGATAGTCGCACGCTCTGTTTCAATATGTTAAAGTGTTTTCTTAGGACCTTGTTTATGTTCGGTGGGTTGCTCGTGAAAGTTAATAGCAAGTTTTTGTTGCGGTGTTGGTCGGCGTTTTTCTGGTGGTTGAGAAGAATCTGGTGGTCCAGATTTTCAGATTTTTTGATGGCGTCATCGATGATAGCTGGCGGGTATTCTTGATTAAGAAGTACTTCGCGCATATGTGTGCTGTTTTTGTGGGAGTCCTCGGTGCGGGAGCAGATTCGTCGGAATCTGTGTGCTTGGGAATAGGGAATGCTGGTCTTGCAATGTCGCGGGTGGCAGCTTTTGAAGTGCAGGTATTGTTGCCTGTCCGTAGGTTTTCTGTATACGTTAGTTACCAACGCGCCATCGTCAACTCGAATGAGTACACCAAGAAAATTTATTTCAGTGTTAGAGTAGGAGTGTGTAAAATAAATGCTGGAGTGTACCTGGTTGAATGCCTGTATGAATTTGAGGAGCTCGTTTTCCGAATGTGTCCAAATTATGAATATATCATCTAGGTACCGTTTATAGAGTAATGGTTTGATATTACAAGATGAAAGAAAATTGGACTCTATGTGGTGCATGAATATGTTGGCGTAGTTTGGGGCCATTCTTGTACCCATTGCCGTGCCGCTGATTTGAAGATAGTACTGGTTGTTAAATTCAAAGCTGTTCAAATCGAGTACATGTCTTGTGAAGATTTCAATTACTTTTTTGCTTGGATAAGCGACAGGGTTGTGTGTGCCATACGATTCAACAAGGCACACACAACCCTGTCGCTTATCCAAGCGAAAATTGGCGTATGTAAAGCTAATTTGGCGTATGTAAAGCTAATTTGGCGTATGTAAAGCTAGCGAAACGGCCGCGAGCGCATCATGAGTGTTGCATGTAGTCATGTTACATGACACGCATGTCGTGATTATCATGTTTGTATGTGTCATTTACCTATGTCGTCCGTTGGCGTCGCGTAATACCGAGATAGGTACATGTGAAGCTAGCGAAACGGCCGTGAGGGCATCATGAGCGTAGCATGTAGTCACGTTATTACGTGACATGCATTTCATGTTTAACATGTTTGCACCAGTGTCATACTTCGTCATCCATTCACGTACCGTAATATCAAATCTGGTACATGTGACGCTAGTGAAACGGCCGTGAGCGCATGATGAGCTTGGCATGTAGCCATGTTGTTACATGACACGCATATCGTGATTGTCATGTTAGGGTCGGTCGCTTGTGTTCGCCATGCAATCATGTCATACGATACTAGTTTTGCAACACGCCATCTGGACAAAACCACCGCAAGAGCTTCAGGACCATGAAATGTAAATCATGATATTCATGGCATACATGTCATGATTTTCATGTTATGACTAGTCAGATATGTTTTTATACAGTCATGTTACGCGGCACCAAGTTTGGTATCGATACCATTATCGAAACGGCCAGGAGAGCTGAGAGTCAAAGGCGGCTAGATAGATAGATAGGTACGCGCAAAGTCGCCGAAGTTCGCTTAGAAATGCTTCGCATTTAAAAACAGCGTAAGTAGCATATCGAGATACATACTGTCGTTCTTCGCGGCACGTGATTCATACTTGCACGCATGCTTACTAGACGTTTTCATATACGATTTAATATGAAGAGCGAAATGTGTAGGAATGGAGTGGAGGCAGCACCGGGCAGTTTTAGGTTGCTTAGATCAAGTTTCACTCTAGTTTCGGGTCTTCCCGCCAGCGTGATTAGAAAATGTCCTGTCGTTAAAAACCTTCTGTCATCTCTCTGTGGGCGTGTCACCGCTTTCAACGTCTTTTTGGGGACCCCGTAGAGCACGAGGGGTATGCGTCTGTCTGGTGAAAAGACGCGGTGCACCTTGAAAAGTATTCTATCTGCGCTTCTGCAGGGCGTTCGTTGGCGGTAGATGGAATTCTTTCTTTTTTTAAAAACACTTTACTTTCAAGCCGGTCGCTTCCCGTTGCTCCGTTTGCGAAACGGTGCCGCTTGCGAAACTCGGGGCGAGCAAGCGTGGGCAATGCTGGACATTGAGGCACGCGTTTTTTTTTTCTCCTCTCTTCTTCCTCCAACTTTCGGTGACCCGAGGGCCACTCATGGCAATGCCAAAAAGTCCCTTATGCATTGTTTCCTCTTGTACTTGTTGGGCTTGACCTTTCGTAGTTTCAACCCGCAATAACAGAGCTCTTACGCGTATAGGCGGAGAGGGGGTGAACGCCGAGCGCTGCAAAAAGTTCCTACTCGGGGGCGCGCGCATGTCACGAAAATGCGCCTTCGCTGTTCCTCCTCGTTCGGTGTCGCTCGGACGCACGGGACTTTCTTTTAACTGCGTCCACCAACTGTCATTCGCATTTCGCCCTAGTGGCGGCACGTGTGAGCTCAACGTATACGTGCTTCTGACATTCGACCAAACTTCCTGACCCATAGTTTGATGCACCGTATACGGCGCAGTCCACTGGACAGCGCCCCTGGCGGCATTTTTAATTTTCGTGACTCGTGAATTGGCGGACCAACGGCGCCGTTTGCTTTGGAGCGAAGCGCTGTTCCTGTCATTCGAATGGCTCAGTCTATAGCGGTGTTGAGGTGCGTTATCTTTGTTTCACAGCGGGGCCCGCTGTGA